GGTTACTTTATGGAAAATTTGGTGCGGCTAATTCTGGCAGTTCATGCTCTTCTCAACTGAGGATTTTTAGCTTTCATTGCCCTGAGTCAAGCTCCACATTATTATAATATTATGTGTCCCCTAACAACTCCCTTAGAAGGACTAAAATAAGTTTTCAGGCAGAAAGGTAGTTCTTTGAAGCAAGTGAGCATGGTGTAATGGCAGAGAACAAAGAAGAGAGTTAACAGAGTTAATTTCTGGCTAAAGTTGCCCACTGACTGACAGTGTAGGCAAGCCAGTTAACTTCTCTGTGCCTCACTCTTCACACATGGCTACACTTGGGCAAATAATGCCTCATCTATTTACCTGACCAAATTTACTTATAAAAATAATGTTAACTGTAAGACTCGAATCTCCAATAAAGCCAAACATTACATTAAAATGGGTTGTTTTATTAAGATAAGCATTGTCATTATTTTTAGTGAGATAGTGAAAGTTGAAGAACATTTAAGAAATAATAACAACATTAATACAATCATGATAATAGCCACGTAAGTACTCTCTGCCATAAAATGTGCTAAATGCACCATCTGGCTTAACCTTCATAAGCTACCCTATAAAGCAGGCATTATTATTATATCCCTTGTACAGATACACTAAATGAGATAACAGACTAAAGAATCTCCTCCATGTCATGCAGTTACCAAGTGCAGATTTGAGATTTAATCTCTTGATGCCAATGCCCTGATCTTAACCAGAGTTACTGTCTGAGAGCTACCCGTGGTCACTTAGAGCATTTTCCAAATCCAACCATTTCTAAGGAGTTCTTCTTTTCTATCTGAGCATGTCCAATCTGGCCCAATTGACTACCTATTATAAAAGAAGGTAGAGGGAGAGAGAGAAAAAACAAACAAACATGGATATGAAAGACAAACATTGATCGCTGCCTTCTGCACACCTCCTACTGGGGTTCCAGCCCGAAACTCAGGCATCTGCCCTCACCAGGCGATGCCATTTTATATAGAGAACTTAAGCCTTCAATAATTTAGGTATGGACATGCATTTCCAGAATCAATCCTCCATGAATAGTGAGGAACAACTAAGTTTTCAGGGAGTCTAAATTTACATGCTGAGAAACAGAGAGAAGAAATAAAATGGAGTCAAGATAGTCAAGCTGCTAAATTATTAAAATCAAATAGATTCTTTTGAGGAAACTATTCTATTCTTTTTTTTAACTAGTTTAGCAACTTAAACTTTTGAACATGCCAGTCCTGCCTCAATGCCTGAATGTGCATCAAACCTCCAGATAACCCTCTGATTACCCCGTGAAGGACTAAAAAAAAGTTAAAATATCCAGACCACCTGACATCCATTATACAGCCCATGAGTCATCAAGAGAATTACATATGGGACCAATCAGAGGCTAGGAATACAGGCCAGATTCTTTCCAGAATGTGGCTTTTACTATAAGAACTCTTAACTTTTCATTCTTTGGAACACTCTGGGTATTGCTTAGGTGTGTTTCCAGTTGCAAACCTAAGGACCCTTGAATACATGTTTAACCTTTAACCACCAGACACTTTTTGAGTTAGTTTGACAACTAACACAGATTTTTGCTAGGGGTGGGGGAGCATAACTCCTGAGCTGTTCAAGGGTAAACTGTATATATTCACCCACTTGCAGCCAAACAAAATTATTTTTATTGAGACAATTTAGAACCATGCTATCCTACTACAAGTGGAAGCTCACTGTTTCTTCTGCTTATTCACTCATTCTTATCTATTATTTTCTCATAGACATGTTTCAACCCTTTTCTAAAACCCCCAAAGATCCAATCAATTCCATCATTTTAATAGATGACTTCTCTTTCTACAGCGTCGAACAATCAAAGTCATTAAAGTGGATACTCTGACAATTTTTCTAACCATCTCAAAAATATTTCTGATTTTTCATTCAACTTTCCTTTCAGGACAACTATCCTCACTTCTAAGGCTATGTTTTGAACATATGATCTTGATGTCATTCCTTCTTAACTTCTTATATATATACTCCTATCTAGTTTTGTATTAGGCAGTAAGACGTACATGAATAGACAAGAACAATGAGTCAGGTACAGAAGGTCATCAAGGCAAAAAGCAACTTGCAAAACTGGGAAAAGAAGGACCTTGCCCCCAGGGTGACCTTTCCTCCCCTGGCATATATGCCGGTCATGTGATTTAAACTCCCTGACCTTCCCTATCACTGGTCCTGTGGTTCAGACCCTCCCTGGACTTTTCCACCTTGGCATATAGCTAATCATGTAGTTTTGAGCCCTGTTAGAGGAGGAACAAGGAACTGGAGAACAGCTTCATAGAATCCCATACAAGCCCTTGCATAACCATTGCCTTAAGCATTAAGCCCTAGAGATACCATCTAAGCTTCTATTGTGTTTCAGGTCCAGGCTCAGAACAGCAGCAAGGCCAGAGGGGTGATATCATGGCTGACTCAGGACCAGATGCTCTAACTAATCACATCCTGTCCTGGCATGGACCAATCAGTGGAGACCGTGACCCTGAAAGCACACACCTGGCAAGCTCATGAATATTCTATTGAGATCCTCCCCTGGAACCACCCTTAAAAACCTTATTCTTAAAAGCCCTCAAATGAAGGACCCAGCTCAACTCTCAAGCAGGCCTGTACCTTTCTCCCAATCCCTTCCCACGTTTTCCTTGCTTCTTTCTGCTAAGCTACAAGAGCCCTTCTTTTATCTCTATAACTAGTTTCTTGAGCCCATTTCCTCTATGGTTCAATTCTAACTCTGTGAATATATATATTATTGATTTCAGAGAGGAAGGAAGAGGGAGAGAAATAGAAACATCAATGATGAAAGAGCATCATTGAATGGCCACCTCCCACACACACCCCACTAGGGACTGAGCAGGCAACTTGCATATACCCCAATCAGGAATCCAACTGTGACCTCTTGGTTCATAAGTCAATGCTCAACTACAAAGACACACTGGCCAAGCTATCTCTGTGACTTTCTAAACAGACTTTTGCTTGTATTTGAGTCTTGGCTCTGAATTCTTTCTTAGACAGAACTCAAGTACCAAGTACTGAGGTCGCTGTTTCGCCTCCAACATTCCAGTTACTATGGAAGAATCAGGAGATGTAAAAATAAATAAGATGCTTTTTGCTTTCAAAGCTCATTTTCATTGTCATAGCACCTCTAAATGTTGACCTTTGACCCTAAGTAAAGTGCCTCTAACTTTACTGTTATAGTAATAAGTTTAGTTAGTATAAGTTAGCATAAGCAAACTCCATTTTGTATTAGTATAGGTTAGCATAAGCAAATTCCATTTTATATTAGAGTGAATTTTAACTTTACTTAGAAGTGAAACTTAACTTCTATGTGTGTGTGTGACCCTGATAAGAACTTTGTAGCCCTGTGTGTGTGTGACCCTGATAAGAACTTTGTAGTCCCCTGTGTGTGTGACCCTGATAAGTACTTTGTAGCTCCCTGTGTGTGCACTCCTGATAAGTACCTTGTAACCCCCTGCGTGTGTATCCCGATAAGTCCAGAAGGCACCACTGGAACACGCTGATATGAGACACTGAAGGAGCCCATCCATTGGGTATAAAAGAAGGACCCTCACACCAGCGGCCAGATGCCTGTCTGCCCTTCACAGACAAGACGTTCTCTTTACCCTCTTGGAACCTGCCGTTCCTGCTCTGCTCCTGAGCCCAGATTGTTAGAGGCTTCTCTTCATGTCAAGAGACCGAGCACCTGCCGCAGCGTTCCTGACGACCTCCGTGTGTCTCTGTCAGTCAGTGTCTCCGGGTGGCCTGCCAAGGACTGAAACCCATCAGCTCTCTGGTAAATAAACCTGTGTGATTCTTGCATTCTGTTTGTCTCCTGTGTCTCCTCTCTTCTTAGCTTTGGTTTAAGCTCGGCCTAAATAATAAAGTACCCTTTGACGTCTGTATTGGTATATCCAAATGAGGCGCACTGGGTCACCTGTGCATATGTTCTCATAGAAGTGGAACACTTACAAATGAACTTTGAATTTACTTATTCCCAGGTTTTGTTTTCCTTAATCCTCTTCAAACATGCTCCTTCTTTTATTTCTATAATATAGTATGTTCAAAAATTTCTCCTTTTTGCTCTCTTTACCTACTTATTATAATCCATCAAAGAAAAGTATATTCCATTTCTTTTTTAAAATCAGTTGTTAGACAATATGTTTACAGTTCATTAATGCCACCTCTATTAAATGTTACTTCAAACTTAATATCCAGTCCTCATTTCTACTCTCAGGTTCAGTTTTATAACTCAAACTACCTGTTGAATAAACTGCCATTATCTAAAATTTGAGATGGTTAAACTGATGTTCTCATTTTACCCATAAAATTATTTGCTTCTGAAGGGGGACAAAGTTTGTTCTCCCAAAATATACCTCTTTGGTACAAGGATTATATTTTGATGATTATTTTCAAGAAATAGACATGGGAAAAGCTCCAAAAACCCAGAAGTTACCCTTTTATAAGGAACATTGACATTTATAAGGTAAATTAGTAAGGGTTTCTCCTTTTATGTAAGAGGTATAGAAAAATACTAAATTTTTTAGAAAATTATAAATGGAGAAGGCAAGAACATAAATCTGTATATTAACTTTATGCTAGTTTACTGTGCTCCCCCTAGGTTCCCCAAAGCTTTCCATAATTGGCTCCCCCATCCTCAACATCTTCTTTTGTCTTTTAAAGGAGATACTATTTAAGGTGGTGCCTTTGATCATTTTAAGGTGTAAGTTTTTCTCAGTATTTTCCATATATACAGAAGATATCATGTTTTTTGAAGATTAACAAAATTAATGCATATTCAATGTTTTCAATGATTCTTTGCATACAATTCAATAATTGGTGTATATTTTTATTCATTAATTTCAACTTATTCCAGATATTCTAGGCAGGAGGCTGTTTCATTGAAAATAATTTCATGATATGCCTATAAAATAAACCAGTTCATAAAAATCCAATTTCAAAGACTACCCTGGAATTATTTTTTTTTGCAATGTCTTCTGACTTTGTCATTTAAGTAAAGCCCCCATTTTGTACTGTCACTGTAGTATTAATGAGTAAAAGAAGCTAGAACTATTTGAGTAACTGTGTGGTTTCCTCCAAAACTTTGTGAATTCTTGTGATTAACAAAGGTCATTTTTTTTAAAAAAAATGGAAGAGTTCTCTATGAAAACACATGAGATCTTCCATGACTGAGTTCTCAGTTTCCCATTCCTATCACTAATATCTGAGTAAAGGTGCCTATCATCTCTAACCTGGACTATTGAAGCAACTTTCTAGATACTACATTCTGCCCTCTCCCCATTGTTATCATATTTATCTTTCTAAGACACAGGCTGATCATGACTCTCTACGGCTTAGAACATTTACTTAGCTTTCTACTGCTCAGAAAATAAAATTCAAAATCGCTGGAAGAGAATTCAATACCTTTCACAATAGAAGTCTAATTTATCATTCCACCTTATAATGCCATTACTTTTCTCACACACATACACTAAGGCCAAATAAAAGTCATTTTATATACTTTCAAGTCTCATGTTTGTTTGTTTGTTTGTTTTTGTTCTCCTTACAATGCCCTTCCTGGACCCACTCCTTATTTTTCTATACAGATTCTTTTCATACCAAAACATACCACTTAAAAGATCATATCCTCCACAGCATGTTCATATGCTACACCCCCATATACTTGTGTATGTTTATATAAGTACATATTTTAAATATATTGTATAATATGTCTTTAGAATATAAGTATACATATAAAATAATGTATAAATATACACATAAAGGTTATATACATATTATAATCAAAGAGTGTAGAAATTTATATAACACACATACTTGGGAGTATAATAATTCACATACAAAACTTTCTCTTTTATTAGGTCATAAGCTCTGTGAGATATGTATCTTAGCACAGCATCTGGTACATATTAAATTATCAATATAGTTTTCTTAAAGGTGTGAATATGTAATCGAATGAGTTACCTTTTGTTTTATCATATATGAAAGATACAAACTCCAGTCTTTATAACGGTTTTCAGCAATGCCTCATAGATAGATATCAATTTCTAAAATGTACTTTCTGAGTCCCAAGTATTTGACATTACAAAATTATAGGAGTGAAAAGGAATATAACAATGCCCACTCCAGGCTTTGATGGGGCCATCACTACTTAGCAAAATACCTTCTCTATTTTAAAAGACTTCACCTTTGAATAGAATTTCATAGCCTGCCCATTTGCCTATCTTATATAATAAAGAGCTAATATGCTAATTAGACCAAACAGCAGAACGACCATCTAGACAACCTTTCAGACAAAGCCTGGGCTGTGAGGGCTGGCCAAGGCTGTGAGGGGCTGTGAGGGCCAAGCCCCTTTCATGAATTTCATGCATTGGGCCTTTAGTCTATATATAAAAGGCTAAGCAACCAGTTGACCATTCAACCGGTCTACTGGTTACTATGACATGCACTGACCACCAGGGGGCAGGTGCTTAATGCTGGAGCTTCCCCCCAGGTGGTCAGCATGCTCCCACAGTGGGAGTGCCGCTCAGCTGGCCTGCATGAGCAGGGCAGGATAAGCAGGAGTGGCTCCTTCCCAGATTCTGGCAGGCCATGCCGAAGGACCCTACCAGTACACGAATAGTGTTTAATAATGTCCACTATTAATTCCTACAATCGTTTTGAAATTATTTTTCAAGGTAATTGAAGCATTACTGTTCTTTTCCTCCTTTGTTTTTTCCCTGTCCGGGAAGATGACATATAAAGAAGATTTTGAGAAACGTTAAATATAACATTATAAGCAAGGACTATGACAGATGGGTCTTGGCTTCAGAATTAAAGCACCTCATCTATTTACAAATATCTATTTTTACTTGGGTTTGTTGATTCTGTTTTCTGAAAACTTTTAAGATATACTCTTTCTCATTCCTAACATTTGCTATATTTGCATTTTGGACGAGGCAACTTTCCCCCTCCCCCTTGATGTCTGAGCCTTGGCTTTCCACACCTTTAATCACTGAAAATATGCACCCTTCACTTAGTTTATAGACTGTTAATAACACTTTTTTTTCCTCACCTGAGGACATGTTTATTAATTTGAGAGAGAGAAAGATCCAGTGGTTGCATCCTGTAGGCACCCTGACCTGTGATTGAACCCCCACACCTAGGTATGTGCACTGACCTGAAATTAAAGCCACAACCTTCTGGTATACAGAAGGACACTCAACCAACTGGGCCACCCGACCAGGGCATGACACTTTTTGAGCTTTGAAGGCATCAGTCTTAATACCTAACACTTGTTAGATGTAATATTTTGCTTACTTTGTCATTAATTAATCTGCCTTCATTTTTTTCTTGTTCTAGTGGCTCTGGTTTGTCTTAAAAGCAGAGTCTATAATCGAGTCTCTATTTTGTGTTGGTTACTGTACTGTGACCTAAATAGCCATTATTTTGTTTTGTTCTTATAATAACCCCTTGAGAGAAGTCATCAGAAGACATAACCACCAGTGACCTGAGAACTGGACCCAGGCAATTGAAAGCTTCTCACCCGCTCTCCTGTCCTTGGAACATGCATTCCACTTGCCTTCCCCAGAAGCCACTCCAAGGACACAGCCTCCAGATAGTCATGTGGTGATGAGACTATTCAGACTGGGTATGTGACTGAACCCAGTAAGTCTGCCGTGTACATAACTGAACCCAGTCGTTTCTATAAACTTTTAAGATTCTGGCAGGTGAATGTGGAAAACTACCTGTAACCACCTAATACAAATCTTTTAAGTTTCCTTGCTTATTGACCCTACCCCCTAGCAATGTGGAGCTGTCTGAATTTTTTGTTGGTCTCTCCCTATCCTCCTGATAAGAGGCCAGTTTCAGATTACATTTGGCAAGCTCCCTGCCAGAGCCTTAAACCAAGGCTCATTAAGGCTAAACAATGTAATCAAAGTTCCTGGTGTACACTCAAATCTGACCTCAAAGCCTACATTTTTAAATCTCCAAGTTGTTCTGAAAACTGGAATATCATAGTGATAACTGTCCTAGCAATGTCATCATATATAACCTTTATTATAAGATTCCTTTCCTTCCTTCTTAATTTTGAACTTTGAACAAAGGTAATAATTATGGGTATAATGTGGAAACAGTATGGAGTTTCCTCAAAAAACTAAAAATGGAATTCCCATTTGACCCAGTGACTCCACTTCTAGGAATATATCCCAAGAAACTAGAAACACTAATCAGAAAGGATATATGCACCCCTATGTTCATAGCAGCACAACTTACCATACTTAAGATTTGGAAACAGCCTAAGTGCCCATCAGCAAATGAGTGGATTAAAACCTGTGGTACATCTACACAATGGAATACTATGCCACTAAAAAAAAGAAGGAGTTCTTAACATTTGCAACAGCATGGATGGACCTGGAGAGCATTATGCTAAGTGAAATTGGTCACATGATATCACTCATTTGTGGAATATAATGAACAACATAAACTGATGAACAGAAACAGATACAGAAACAGAGAAGCATCGATCAGACCATTGAACCTCACAGGGAAGGTAGGGGAGGGTGGGGATAAGGGGGAGAGATCAACCAAAGGACTTATATGCATGCATATAAGCATGACCAATGGACACAAACACTAGGAGGGTGAGGTCATGAGCAGGAGAGTGGAAGGCAATGGGGGAATAAGGACACATATGTAATACCCTGATCAATAAATAAAAAATAAAGGGAGTACTATTTATTGAACACTTATTACATGTTAAGCATATTACTCATAATCATTTTTTTATAATTTTTTTTAATATATTTTATTGATTTTTTTTACAGAGAGAAAGGGGAGGGATAGAAAGTTAGAAACATCTATGAGAGAGAAACATTGATCAGCTGCTTCCTGCACAACCCCTACTGGGGATGTGCCCGCAGCCAAGGCACATGCCCTTGACCGGAATCGAACCTGGGACCTTTCAGTCTGCAGGCCGACGCTCTATCCACTGAGCCAAACCGGTTAGGGCTCATAATCATTTTTATACTCACAATAATACTGCCTCCATTTTATAGATAAGAAAATAGAGTTGGAGGGAAATTTAAAAAAAAACAAACATCTTGGTGCAGCTTAAATTGTTATAACTTCAGAAGTGTAAATGTTATTCTCAATAAGTTTATTTAAATTTGTTTGAAATATATTTAGTTTTGTGAATTTAATAATACATTCTTTTTTACTTTTTGTTTTAGTCAATGAGAAAGTGAATGCATTCATTTTCATCATTTCACATTCTCAAAAGTAGCTTATTAATTTTTTTTCTATATTGTTATATCCTTATATCCTGATGAACCAATGAGCAATTTATCAAGCTACCCCAAGGTGAGGGTGCTCTGCAGCACCAATTGTTTATTTTATTGTAATATCTACATCATTTATTTCCTATCTTTAAGGGTCTAGCTACTCAAAATCTGCATCATCTGAGACTTATTAAAAATGCAGGGTCTTGGGCTTTCTACTAGAATCTTGATTTGGAATCTGCAGTTTAGCATGTTCACTGGACGATGCGCATTAATGTTGAGAAGCACTCATTTAGGCATTGAATTTGATCTATAATCACAAGATCACGGCAAGTGAATGTTCTGGACTAACCACAAAGGAAAAAAAAAATGCTGAATATTAACATATAACCATTAACATCAGACACCAACCAAGAAAAGCAAAAAGAAACAAAATGAATGCTGGACAATTAGGTATTAGTCAAGTCCTTTGATGTTAAGAAGGACGTTTTTAATATTGCATGCAATTCTATGGATAACAGCTCAAATGCTAGCCCAGTGGAGGGTCAGAACTTCACAGGGTTGAAGAGAATGGAAAAGCAATTGCCAATAAAGCATAGCAGGATTTCATCTCCAGAGAGAGTACCCTAAAAGGAATATACCCTTCAGTAACTGTGCTCTTGTGTTACATAGACTATGAACATATATACTTTTTTGTTTTAGTGTTTCCCCAAAAATTGACTTGATAATTCATTGCAGAGTTTTCCTGGGGTTGCAATGGATTTGCAGGGTTTTTTTAATCAATTTTTTTTCTTTTTTTTTTTAACTGATGTATTAATAAAATTCTAGACTGCTGTTTTTTGTTAGTTTATCTTTTCCACACTGCTTCCCAAAGTTTAATATAATCAGCCTTGGTCATACAAAAAATTGTTGAAATTCTTTAGGGAAAAATTAAATTAAGCCTAGAGGTATATTCACTTCTTTCCTACCTTTAAATTGTGCTTTGATGCAATAGGGGAAACAGTAATGGGGTAACTTTTATTTTGTTTTATTTTTTCTATATATTTTTTTTTATTGTTG